TGCCTTATAGTAATTCAATTATTTTTAGTTTATGCAATCAACAAAGAAAAGTTTGTGAGTTGGCAACATTAAATCATACTCCATCCGTCCATAAAGAGATGCAACTATACAATTTGTGCAAGTCAAATTACCTTAACTTTAACCAAATTTATAGTGAATAGTATTAACATTTATGTCTTCAATTAAGTTTACTAAGAAAATATATTTCTTAATTTAATGATACTTATTTTATATCATAAATATAGACACCTCTTTATATAACATTGGCCAAACTGCAAATCATTTGGTTCCTCAAAAAGTGAGAATTGTATTCTTTCATGGACAGAGGAAGTACAATGGTCAAATAGTTGTGATGTATTTCTAAATTTTTGTTAATGAGATGGTTGCTTCACGAAATAACCACATCTTTCTCCTACCATCCTCTTTCTCTTCTATGTCATCAAACCTCTTTCTCTCACCTTCCTCTTTCTCTTATATGTCATCAAAATTCTATATGACGTTGCATAAGACTTGCCTTTAAAACTGCTAACCTATTGAAACTGCTAACATATATATAGGTTGTTCGCTGGTCTGAACCAGACCAGCCAGCCGCTGGCTGCTTTCCCTCTTAAGTTACTGTTCACCAAACCAGTTGAACAATGTTTTTCTCTCACAACAAACCAGCCGAAACAGTATTTTTTAGATAAGTTTCAGACCAGCAAACGGGCCATAGCAATGTTTCCGCCCTATACACTAGCTTGGTGCCCCTTGTTGCCTGCCATCGGATTCGGAAGCGGTCCCGTACACTGGCAACCCAAAGCGACAGATGATGCCCACCGAGGTGTCACAAACTGCAGGAACCAAACATGAATCCATGAGGCCCCGTTCGCTTGTCTTAAATTTAGCTTGTTCGGCTTGTTTTTTCAGCCGAAACAATGTTTTTCTCTCACAACAATTCAATCGGAACAGTGTTTTCAGCCAGTTTCAGCCAAAGTTCGGACCAGCGAACGGGGCCAAGCTTCTGTATCACTGTATGGGTTGGGAATTGGGACCATCGCATCGATACCATGGGGCCCGTCTAGTCTTCCTCTGCTTCCCTGAGAATGGCTATATACGTACAAAAAATAGTTGGTACAACTACGACTGGGGCCTAGAATCATTCGTACAATACCACTCTGCGAGCGAGGCTGTTTGTCATGGAGCACCTTTGTTTTCACCATATTTTTCGACCAAAATATACTCCCGGGCTTGTGTTTCATCCATTTGCAGTGTTCTACTGAAGGATACCGTGAACTCGCATAATAAAACATGCACATGCAGGCATGCATAATGAAACATGCACATGCAGGCTATGTCAGGAGCAATCACCTTCACTTACACGCTTCTGTACTAGAGAAAATGCCAGGCAGCCAAAGATTCCGCATTCAGTAATCTATCTGCAGTACTCCCTCCGTCCCAGCAAAAAAGTCATACAAAACATATTTTGACCACTAATTTATCTTACAATATATTGTTATTTGCTAAAGAACCAATATCATCTTAGAGACACTTTTAATACAAATTTATTGATGCAAATTTTATATATTCTAAACTTGTATGCAATTTGAATAACTATTGGTCCAAGTTAGTGAAATACAACTTTTCACCGTGCGATTGTCATTAAGGAGTATCCCTCCATCCAGAAAAGAATGCAATTATAGTACAGTATCATGGTTTACTATATTAAGTTCAATCAATTATAGATAAAAAAGTATCAACATTTATGATATTAAATAAATATCATTAGATTAATTACGAAATATATTTTCATAATAAATTATTTTGGAGCCGTAAATATAAATAGTATTCACTAAAAATTTAATCAAACATGAACTACTTTACCGACACACAATCCGTAGTTGTATTCTTTTATGAACGGAGCCAATATTATATAAGCATGACATACGAGGTGAGGTGCCTCTGCTGACACTACTGTCCCGTTCGCTTCGCTGAAAAAATAAGTCAAAACATTGTTCCGACTGATTTGTTGTGATAAAAAAACACTGTTCCGACTAAAAAAACAAGCTAAAAAATACGGATTATAAGATAAACGAACAGGGCTATGTGCCTGCCTTGCACACAGAAGCATTTAGCACCGCTGCTGGTACCCACAAACACAGTATCCCAGCTACATCGATTTATCATTTATTTTTTTCAGGACTCGATCATAGAACTATTTTTCTCAAACATTATAAGAGAAACGAACATGCCTGCCTTGCACACAGAAGCATTTAACACCGCTGCTGGTACTCACAAACAGCATCCCAGCTACATCGATTTTGTCATTTATTTCCTTCAGGACTCGATCATAGAACTATTTTTCTCATCTGCCAATTGCCATAGGAAAGCTGCTGTTCACTCAAGATTCAACAAGCCATCAAGCAACTGTGAAGTACAAAACAGGGATTTCCGGTGGCTGGCATCTTGCCCTGATATAACAGTTAAAGTAGTACTTACATCATGCGTGTCCTTGGAAAGGAAGAGCTACATCAGCACAATCACCTTTAACAAAAAGCACTTATGTAGGGACATGTTTGGAGGCACCCCTACAGATCAATGCTAATGTTATCTCCAACAGGAGACTCGTTGCGAAACTCAAACTTAAAATAATTCTTCAACACAGTACTTATAGCCTCATTCAGAATATCTATATGGAAGACCCATTTTAAATGCCAGGAAAGGCATAACCCAAATCTGAATATCCTCCTTCTTGGAGTTCCATTCGTAGAAAGGGTTATCTTTTGGATCTTATTGTTGGAGAAGACAAAAAATAGATATTGAACCCTTTGCCTGTAGCGCTATCCAAAGAAAGACGTGCCTCGTTCGCTTGTCTTAAATTTGGCTTGTTCGGCTTATTTTTTTAGCCGAAACAGTGTTTTTCTCTCACAACAATTCAGTCGAAACAGTGTTTTTCAGCCAGTTTCAGCCAAAGTTCAGACCAGCGAACGGGCCAATATGTCTTGTATTTTGGGTCGCGGATGTTGGAGACAGTCTAATCACTCTATAGAGTACCTGAGCATGAGCATGCAAATTCCATGCTGGTCTCTGGTGATGTGACCAAGACAGGTATGGGTTTGATAATTGATATGCTACAATGTTATGTATTCATGTGTTGTTGGATGACTATTATTGGCAAGATAAAACTTTCCAGACATCCAGGCTAAATAATTCATTAGTGCCTATGCAAGTAAAACACTCATAAAAAACATGTGAGCCAAGACATCATGCAAAGCATTAAAATAGAGGTTGCTATCATCACATGGAAGGTCATGATGCCAAGCTAATCTATCAATCAATCACCGGAAATCCAAGCTGAACAATTCGTTAATTCCTAAGCAAGTGAACATAAATCAATATTAGGGTCTTGTTTAGATTGTAAATTTTTGCAATCTGAACACGTAGTACGTTTCGTTTGTATTTGATAAACTTTATCCGATCATGGATTAACTAGGCTCAAAAGATCCGTCTCGTGATTTACAACCAAACTATGTAATTAGTTATTTTTTTTATCTACATTTAATGCTCCATGCATGTGTCTAAAAATTGATGTGACGGAGAGAGAGTGAAAAAACTTGAAATTTAAAGGTAATCTAAACAAGACCTAGCAAACGTGTCAATACATCATGGAAAGCTTTAAAACAGATGTTTCTGATCACATGGAAGATGATGATGCCATGCCAAGCAAATCTATCAATCACCGGCTTGATAGTTAATATGATAGGGACAAAAGGTAGGGCTATGCCCATTCCTACAAACCTACCAATTACTGGCTTGGTCATGTTGATGTTGATATGGACAGATGAAAGGAAGTTCAGTGAGAAAAAACGTATCTCGCTCGGACCAAACCCAGTAATGGCCCAAATGAAAGCAAGAGTTATCAGGATGTCACCACTCACCACAACCACTGCATAGCTTTTTAGGCCCTATTTAGATTTCACCAAAATCTAAAAATTTTTAAGATTCCCTGTCATATTAAATCTTGCGGCATATACATAGAATAATCTTGCGGCATATGCATAGAACATTAAATGTAAATAAAAAGAATAACTAATTATACAGTTTATCCGTAATTGGCGAGACAAATCTTTTAAGCCTAAATAATCTATAATTGGATAATTTTTGTCAAATACAAACAAAAATACTACAGTAGTCAAAAGCCAAAAATTTTCGCATCTAAACGGGGCCTTATTCTGTGCAAGAAGACTGCTTCTGACCTGCATTACATACTAGTCTTGGTGGTGGCCTTCAATGTACGCATCGACCATTTTTTCCCCTTTCAGGGTTAAGTTCATCAATGACCCGAATATCTACTTGTTAAAATAAATGTACCAACTTGCACCAACTTATTAGTTCCGCACACCTGACCCATCATTCAAGCCAAAAGAGAACAATGTGGTACAGTTCGCAATTTATAATTGATTCGTACACTGTGTCCAAAATCAAACTCACATAAAAAGCAATAGATTGCCATATTCACTTGATAAAGCGTAGTCGAAAGGACCGTTGGGTGATTTATCGCGAAAGAAAAATACTCTTCGTGAGTTGAAAAGGTGCTTATAAGCCAAATGATGTCATAAATTCCTGCCTATCCTATCAATGCAAACAAATTCTGAGGCTCGATAGCAAGTATGACAAAACAAAGCATGGTGGTAATATCAAATTCCTAACTATTTGATTTGATTACTAACAAGTATGACACCAGCAGTAGCACTAACAAATCAATCCGCAGAAGTGTTCAGAGTGCGCATCCCTCGCAAAATAGCTCGAATATACACTCACAATCTCAAATCCATTTCGAATTAGTAGGCGAACAGATAGATAGATAGATAGATAGATAGAAAGAAAGATAGACATCTGGAGCAGGAGCATCATTATCTTCAAAAGAAAAAGAAAACTAAATCGCAAACATATTCAGAAGTTTGGTTCCTTTCTTGGGGGGCCTGCCACCGTCCAAGAAGGGAGAACCGGCCAGGCATCAGAGGTTACCATCCATGGTGGAAGATCTCAGAGCACTTGCCCTTGAACCACCGGAGGCCGCGGCGCAGCGACGCCTTCACCTTGCCCTCCACCGAGTAGGCCTTGTAGCTCGCCACCCTTCGCCGCCGCTTCATCTCCGGGTCGCTGAGGCACCACATGCTGGACCCGCCGCCTCCACCTCCACCTTTCCTGCCGGCGCCGGCGCCACTGCCGCCTCCTCCTCCACCCAGTCGCCCCTCCTTCCACCCCGGTGGCGGGGGCAGCGCCAGCGTGTGACCGGGTGGCGGGGGAAGGTGCGGAGGAGGCGCCGTGGTGTAGATCTCGATCCGCCGGTCGCCGCCTGCGCCAGCGCCGGTCCCAGGGAAAGCGTCATTCTTGGCGAAGACGGGAGAGAAGTAGCCGTTGTGGGAGTGCGGGGAGGCGGAAGAGGAGAAGTAACCGTTGGCGTGCGTGAAGGCCGGGTCCGGCACGGAGGACGGCGGTGAGCGGAGGTCGCCCCGGTAGGGACGGTGGTAGTCGCCCATGAGCGGTGAGCGGTGAGCGGAGACGAAGGCGGAGGCGGAGGGAGGGCGAGATGGGTAGGAAAGCACGGGAGATTCGGGCAACAGTCGTTCGTTTTTTGTTGGTGGACGGTGGGACCCACCCTTTGTGAGTGAGCAAAGGGCAAAGGTGGGAATTAAAGTAGAGCACGGGTTGAAGAAAGGGATCTTTGCTTTTGGGCTTCTTTCCCTTGCTGGAATAGAATTTGGCCCAAATTCAGCTGATCCGAAAGAGAAGGAAAAAATCACCATCGCTCAAACAAAAAAAAGGAAAAAAATCACCAGGGCTTTCAAACGTTTTTGTCAAAAAAAAATACAGATATTTGACTAGGTACCACACACTCTCTTTCTCTCATACTCCCTCTCATAAAGCCGTCCCCTTCATCAATAAAAGAGGATGCGCTCTCTCCAAAAGGAGAAGTATTTCGGACGACCGATGATTCCAACGAATAACAGACGGATCACTCCGATTCTCTCTACTTAGCTCTAGAACTCTAAAGCCAAACAAAGCATACGTTCGAACACTTAGCACACGTCGAAGCTCCCATCACTCTTGGCCCTTTGGTCCGGAGTCCGACCGGACCTCTGATACCCTCCATCTTACTCCCTCTTGTTTGTAACCCCACAGCAAACTTCGAGCACTTGGGCTCAGGAATAAAGTCACTGACCGATTCAAACTGGACATAGGGCACGTTGCCTGAACCAGTATAAACCCTGTGTCATTGAGTGCCAGGCCACATCCGATCACAACGTACGGCAAAACGACAAATATTTACTAGTTGGTCACTTTTTCGCACCGACAGTTGGCGTCGTCCGTGGGGAAGACGCCGTACATTCGCGCCTTTGGTCATCGGATGGCCCACCTTTCCGCCATCTTCGGCATGGCGGGCTCAAGCGATACGACTTGTTTCGGTTCACTGGAGTTTCCCGCACTCCCACCTGTTGGGATGTGGGTTCCTCCCATCTTCGAGCCGTCCCAGGCCTTCCTCTTCGGAATCCTAGACTTCATCGCCGACCGGCTCGGCGTACTTCACCTCCTCAAGGAGGCACCTGTCCCGGCGCCCGTCGGGGGAGGAGCGCCCTCCGTCGGCTCCAGGACACCCGGCGACCTCAACGACGAGGCGCCTGCGCTTCGCTCCGAGCCTACGATAGGCTCAAACCCCGCTGTGAATAACGTACATATTGTTCTTTACTCGCTATTACATATCTTCCGCCGACTCTCCGTAAGGACCCCGTTGTCCTCGCCATGACCGCCATGCAACCGGTTCTCCTACGGCATCGTGTCCCCCGCGGATGCGTACGCACGGGGGCTCTGAAGGATGCTGGCGCCGCCCCCTCTCACATCCGAATTCGTGGGGATGGCGAACTATGCTCCTGCCTCTTTCCATGACCTCATGGATGATGAGGTTGAGAGCGATGGCTCTAGCATCGGCAACGTCGTGTCACATAGCCACCTTTTGTCCCGAGAGTGCGCTATGGCGGATGCTTCGAGACAGCCGCCGGTGGTAGCGGAGTCTCTACAGACCCACACCCCTCTGGACCCTCGCATGGAGTCCCTCGCGTGTGCACAGGAGCACGGCGAGGAGCTACAACAAAGGTGGTAGAACCAGCCACCACCTGCGCCGGCGCGCTCGGCGCAGCACGCTGCGCCCCGTGTGTGTAACCCGGCGAGCAGCGCCCGGGGTCGTGCCTGCCAAGTTCAGCGCAACATCATCGACGGGGGGAACGATGCCCCATAGTTCACACAGGCTACCCAGAACATCACCGCGGCGGTGATGCTTCTGCGTGGCCTTCCTGAGCCTGTCGACCCATAGGAGCAGGTGGTCCACCGGAACCTCCGGACGCTGGTGGAGACCGCCACCATTCAACAGGCGAAAAGCTCCGCGTCGCACCACCGACTCACGACCTCTTTCCCTACCGGGGGAATGGGGGCGTGCCAGTCCAACCTCTCCATCTGCTCACCTCTACGGCTGGCGAGCATGGAACATGAGGGCGTAGCTGCACCATGGCCTGACCCGGCGCCCGCTCCACACCGGCCACCTATGCGCAAATGCCTCGGGCCAAACCGAGATGCTCGCAGCGTCATCAGCAACCGGCGTTGGGCCTGGCATGATGATGATGTCCATCAGGCAACGATGAGAGCAGGCGGCATGGGTCTTGGCCGGACCATCGAGGGGAGCGGTGAAATGTACCGTAGGCATGGTCACCGACCTGACACCTGGAGTCCTACCCCGGATGGCCCGGGACCACAAGCCTTTGGCCGACACATCCAGAGAGCGTCGTTCCCACATCGCTTCTGACCGCCTACCAACGTCACCAAATATACTAGGGAGACGAATCCCGGTATATGGCTCGAAGACTTTCGGCTCGCCTACCGAGCTGGAGGAGTGGATGATGACCACTTCATTATTCAGTATGTCCCCATCTGCGTGGGGGACACACATTCAAGCGTGGCTCGAATTCCTCCTGCATGACAGCATCCGCGACTGGGCGGACCTCAAGGGGGTCCTCATCGGCAATTTCTAGGGGACGTATGTCCGTCCTAGGAATTCCTGGGACCTCAAGAGCTGCCAGCAGGAGCCCAACGATTCCCTACGAGATTACATCTGTAGGTTCTCGAAATGATGCAACTCCCTTCCTAATGTCGTTGACGCAGACGTCATCAGCGCATTCCTCTCTAGAACAACCTATGAGTCTTTGATTCACAAGCTTGGATGTCTGAAGCCCTGGACCACCCGTGACCTGCTCGACGTTGCCACGAACCATGCCTCTAGCGAGGACGTAGTCAGAGCGGTCTTCGACGGAGGCCAGGACAAAGGCAAGGCCAAGCGCGAGGACCAAGATGAGGGCCCCTCCACACTGAGGGGCAAAAAGAACAAGAAGGGTCAGCGTCGACTGGCCAACTCCACGCTGGTCACCACGGCTGATCGCGCAGGCAAGCAGCCCCAGCAGGGCCTGCCAGACCACTTCAACAAGCTCATGGATAGCCCATGCACCAACCACGCTTACCCCGTCAAGCACCTCTATAAGGACTGTGAGCTCCTCAAGCGCTTCCTGTGATAGGCAGGTGGGCCGAAAGAAGGAAAGGGCAAGGAGACAGGAGCCAAGAAAGGAGGCACAGCGGGCAAGGATGGGGACGACTTTCCCGATCCTAAGGAATGCCTCGTGATCTTTGGGGGTCCGATGTCATCTACTCCAAGCACCAGCATAAAGTGCGCTACAGAGAGGCATGTGTCGCCGAGATGGTCATCCCCTTCTTCCTTAGCTGGTCGGAATGTTCGATCACTTTTGATCAGAGGTACCATCCTTCCCATGTCGTTAGACCGGGTCGCTACCTGCTCATCATCGACCCCATCGTCTGCAAGAAGCGCCTCACCAAGGTGCTGATGGACGGAGGTAGCGGCCTAAACATCCTCTAAGTCGACACCCTCAACGCCATGCTCATCCCCGGTCGGAGCTCCACCCAGTGAGCTCTCCCTTCCATGGCGTGATCCTAGGGGACGCATGCATACCCGCTCAGGCAGATCGACCTGCCCATCACGTTTGGTGATCGAGCCAACTTCCACTCGGAGGTCCTCACCTTTAAGGTGTGGACTTCCCAGGGTCCTACCATGCCATCTTGGGGTGGCCATGCTATGCCAAGTTCATGGCGATCCCCAACTACACCTACCTCAAGCTGAAGATGCTAGGACCGAATGGTGTCATCACCATGGGTAGCACCTTTTCACGCACCTACACGTGTGACTGCGAGCATTACGAGCTTGCCACTGCCGTCATCAACTCGTCCGAGATCCCATGGCTCGGGGAGTTGACGACCCTAGCAGTCCTAGACTACAACAAGCCAACCTCCTCGACTGCCTTCCGCCCACTCGAGAAAACTAAGGCAGTAGGGATCGACCCCACCGACCCAACCAAGACGATCCGGATCGAGACCCAGCTTCCGGCCAAATAGGAACACGAGCTCACCGACTTTCTATGCGCCAATCATGATGTCTTCGCATAGAAACCTTCTAACATGCCAGGTATACCATGGGAGGTCGCCGAGCACGCACTACGCCTCATCCTGGGCTCGAAGCCCGCCAAGCAATGCTTGCGTCGCTTTGATGACGAGAGACGCTGGGCCATAGGCAAGGAGGTCACCAAACTCCTGGCAGCCGGATTCATCAAAGAGGTATTCCACTTCGACTGGCTCACCAATCCTGTTCTTGTTAAAAAGAAGACCGAGAAATGGAGAATGTGCGTTGATTATACCGACCTCAACAAGGCATGCCCAAAGGACCATTTTTCTTTACCACGCAAAGACCAGATAGTCGACTCCACCTCGGGATGTGAGATCCTCTCCTTTCTAGATGCCTACTCAGGCTATCACCAGATCGCGATGAAAGAGTCTGACCAGCTTGCAACCTCATTCATCACCCCGTATGGTTCGTACTGTTACGTAACCATGCCTTTCGGTCTAAAGAACGCTGGTGCCACATATCAATGGTGCATGCAGCAATGCTTCACCGATCAAATCGACCCACTTGATCAGCCTGACCAAGTCGAGCGGCCAAAACCAACAATCGCCGTCTATGTTGATGACATAGTGGTCAAATGGCTCAAGCTTGTGACCTGATTGCAAACTTGGCCGCAACATTCACGAACCTTCGAAGGTTCAACATCAAATTAAATCCCAAAAAATATATTTTTGGGGTTCCAAAGGGGAAGCTGCTTGGATACATTGTGTCCGAACACGGCATCGAGGCCAACCCCGAAAAAATCACGACCATCTCCAACATGGGCCCTATACGCAACGTCAAGGGCGTACAAAGGCTCACCGGCTACTCGGCGAATGGAGGATGCCTCTCTACAAGCTTCTAAAAAATGGATGCTTCCATCTGGACTGAGGAAGCATAGCAGGCTTTGGAGAGCCTTAAAGCATCATTGACGTCGGCCCCAATCCTCATCTCTCCCGAACGGGGAGAACCCCTCCTCCTCTACGTCGT